GAGAGGGCATGGTCTGTCAACGGGGGGGGGCGACCATATATATATATATATATATGTATATATATATATACACATTCTATGACACTAAGTACATCTGTGCAAACTACACAATACGACACTCAAGGAACTGTTTTCGGTACTTGTCTGACTCTTCCCCTGTTCATAACACGTGCCCAGGTACCAGTTGATGGCCCCTTGCTTATGGGCTTTACTTTCTTGTTCAGTCGTCCTCGAAAGCTGGATTCAAAGCTAACAAGATCCCAAACGTTTCAGAGCGGGGTACTTTCTTGGATGAGGCTTCCAGATTTAGGGACTAAGGGTGTTGAGGCGTCTTGAGGTTGGGGATTTTCGGATTTAGGGCCGCAGGATGCAAGATTTAGTGGTGGAAGGTTGCCGGCCTAGATCTCTTTGCCGGTGGCTCGAAGATGTCTCCTTTCACAGATTTCGCCACGGCTTGATCTTGGGTGCCTAGAGGGAATAACACCCATGCCAACTTGGATGCAACTGCAACTTGTCAAAACCGCTTTCTCATGTCAAGTGGCCAAAGGCCCGGAGACTGTCCTGAAGCCGCTGCCTCTTTCCTGGCCTACAAAAGCCCTCGACGGCAAGAAGCTGAGTTGGCGGACCATTGTCGGGGACCACGACGCCGATCACCAGCAAGTCCCCGCCATCGCAGGTGAAGGAGACCTAGAGGGTCCATCTGCCCAAATACGGTTCTAAAAGGGATACTACAAGGGCTTATAAGGGCGAGAAGAAGCTGCTCGACCATTTCGGCGCGTTTTGGCTTAAGTTCGAAGCTGTAGTGGGCTTCAGGGACTAATGTAGGGGCTTGAAAAGCTAGAATAGGGTTTTGGGGTATATTTTACAATACTTATAAAAAAGGAACCCCCCCAAAATAGTAGAGGTAATTATTGAGGCCCCTATGGTAGCGCCAACCCCGACCGCCAAGCTCTGAGGTCCTTCAGGGGGGTTGTTCATGCCCCTAAGGTGCCCCTGCTCTCGAACTCACACGAACTGAACCTGCTCTTGAAGGAATGCCCGATCATGGCAGTCATAGTAATACGAATAGAAAACACAACCATAACCGTACTACTGACGATGACAACAATCGTCATGATGATGATGATCATCATCATCATCATTAGACGGCGACCTGCCTCGCCGTCTACGGAGTCCGCCTGGAACCGCACCTGCCAAGATCACGACTGCTTTCTAGCCCCTGAGGATCCGGAAAGCGCAGCTTAGGCTTTTCAAAGGGCTACATAGTACACTGTAGTATGCTATAGCATAAGGTGGTATCTCATAGTGTATGCTATCGTAGACTATAAAGTACAGGTTTTCAAAAGTTTGAAGGTTCAACACGTTCAACACGGTCCTTTCCCTGCGCACGGCATGGCACAAACGGTCAGTGAGAATCTGAATTTTAGTTTGTAGGAGTTCAGGGAAATCAAAATCGGCCCGATCAGAAATAGCAACAGTAGCAACAGTTGTCATAATAGACCGAGAAATCTTGTGTGTAGGTGTATTTAAAACGAATCAGATGAGTAAGGACAAGGACAACAGTACTTGCAAGAAGACGAAGACGACTAGCCATGGCAAGGAGAACCATGCAATTGCAATAGTAATTATACCAGTAGATACTGGTAGTAATGTGCCTGGCAGTACGGGCTAGCTTGTGAAGCTCTCGCCAAGGCCAATGGCTTTCCGCCGGCAAAGGACACGTAGAGCGTGGACCTCGCTCCAACCGGCACGAAGGTGTTTCGGCGCTTAGGTGGGTTAGAGTTTAGGGTCGCTATCAGGATGTGCAGTATGCAATGTGATACTCTGAGATAACCTAGCACAGGTTCAGGCATGCTGGTGCCGGGGCGCTGACTGGGCTGTGGGAGACTTCTCCCAAAGCATGCATCCGCGAAGCTGCAGTCGGAGTGGGGAGTCGTTGCCTGCTTCACAATGCCAACATCACATACCCTAAACCCCGAAACCCTAAATATCCCTAAATCCCTAGAAACCTAAACCCTAAACCCCAAATCCCTAAGGTCCAAAACTATAAAACCCTACAAAGAAACCCCAAACCCTAAACCCTAGACAGCTCCTACGACTGGCGTGGCCTCCAAAGTTGACAGGTCCTTTGGTGGAGATCTTCCTGTCAACGGGAACGCAGTCTCTGTGCAATGCCGAATAGAGGAAGGATACATGTTAAGGGGTTTCAAGGGGTTTTAGGTTTTAGGGTCCATGTTAAGGGTTTCAAGGGGTTTTAGGGTTTAGGATACATGTTAAGGGGTTCAAGGGGCTTTAGGGTTTAGGGTCTTAGGGGTTAAGGAGCTTACGGGTTTAGGACTTAAGGGTTTAGGGAAAGGGTCCTTTTCCAAACCTCTTGCGGCATCTGCTTGGCGAAACGGATCACCCGAGCGGGATCGCGCCAAGAACTACCCTCTGAAGTCGCTTAGGGTTTAGGGTTAAGGGTGGACTAGGAGGAGCCTGTTTACATCGGTCTGCTGTGTGGACTTCTGTGCAGCCTGCACAGTACACTGCAATCGGATTCTTCATGTACCTGCTTCAGGTTGCCAAGATGCTCTGCGATAGCTTGATCCAACGCTGCGGGTGTCCTTCTCCACCAGGCAAACAACTTCAGTCCAAGAGGCCAGCACTTCGTCAAGTATGCCTCACTGTATGTTAACTCTTCCTCTGCTCGTTAAGCAAGTATAAGCCTGTATATACAAGTTACACACACATGTATATGTGTCTCTCTCTCTCTATATATATATATATGTCTACAACCAGTAAACCAGTAGGCATAAACATATACATATATATATATATTCATACACATGATTGTACACACATACACATACATGTGCACCTAAAGCCTTCCGCCGGTACAGCCGGAGCCAATAAGTAGTTTCGCCATTGTGGTGGAATTGCACACAATCTGGATAAATTCGATGAAACTCCAAACCACTGATGCCATCTATAGGGACATGGAGAAGAAGGATAGTTTGACAGCTCCTAGGAAAAGCTTCGAGACTCCAAACATAAGCACATGGCATTTTTCGCTTCTGGCTTTAGCCGAAACCCTTGGCCCGCCAATCAAAGTCCATGTCAGCGTCTTCATCATCGTCGGCATCGTCCTGCCAGGTGGGCGAGTCGTTCGGTGCCAGGGTGCATGATGCTAGGAACATCCAGAATATTTAAGGAAGCTACAGGTGGGGAGTTTAGGGTTTTTCTATTCTGTCAAAGCTGCATCTATGACCTCACACACAGACTCTCCATGAGTCTATCTCAAAGGATACCGGCAATTACTGTACCTGACCCCTTACATATCCCAAGCCCGGGCATTGCACCATACAAGGGGCTGAAGATGGATGTGTTCCGAGACCCTCGACCCTGACATACCCCCTCCAAGCACCTCTGAACCCTAGAAGCTCTAAGACCCACTACACCCCTCCAAACCCTATACCCTGAACCCTAAACCCTATAAGCTCTGAACCCTGAGCCCTGCTCTCTACACCCTCGCACCTCAGCGCCCTCCGCGACTGTCTCGGCCGGAGCCGACGCTGCAGAGGAGCCTTCCGAAGGTGTGCGAGTCGCTGCAGAGTACCTATCTTTATATACATACACACATACATACATACATACATACATACATACATACATACATACATACATACATACATACATATAGACAGACAGACATACATACTTACTTACATACATACATACATACATACATACATACATACATACACACACACACGCACACGCACCAATATACATATATAGGTATTTGCCCTTATGCACATAGCCACATAAATGAACACACACACATACATATATACATATATATATATATGTGCATAAATATAAATATATATATATATACCTATATGTATATGTGCATACATCTATGTATACATACATAGTACATCCTTGAGTCAGGACCGCCCAAAGTGCCCAAAGTGGCCCGAAGGAGTATCAATGTCTAGTGCAGTTTAGCAGGTTGCAAGTAATACAAGGCATGTCCACCGACGCGAAGGCATGTCCACGTGGGAATTTCGATTACACCCTGCGTCATTGTCTTCCTACTGTTCTCATGGCACATTAAATGCCCCTACATCTGACATGGCGTTGCAGTTGAAGACAAGGAATGTAAAACTATGACAGAAGCACTATGTCTTTGCCCATATTATAAACCTAAAGCCCTGAACCCTAAGCACATATTAAAAAAGCCAGAGTCAATGATGAAAGCAGAGCCGGCCCTGTCTGCGAGTTCCACATGCCACTCTCACTACGGAAGCTGTAGAGTCCGTGGCCCACCACATCTTGAGAATTGGAACAGGTCTGGGGCCGGTATAAACATATAGGAATCACTAACTTGCAAACCGTAAGTAAGTAGACTTCACATGTACAGCCAGAGAAGAAGCTATATGACTCATTATTTCGTCCGTGGTCTGGTGGGTGGGTGGCAGGAGCAAGGTCATGCCAGTGGGATTCCGTGGGTGTGGGCTTCTGCAGGGTGAAGTTGATGCAAGGACTCACCGAAGTTTCTGCATGCGCATCCCCACTTGCAATGCAACCTCTTGAGCCGCACGTTCTTGCAGACTGCCTTTCTTTTCACACACCCGCTGCTCGGTGCATTCGGTCTTGGGCTTGGTCCAAGAGCTTTAACTGCAAATGGAGGAGCTCAGCACGGGAATAGGAGACCTCAGTAGTCAGGTGCATGATCTGGGCAGTGAGGGTATGCTATGTGAATTCAGCAGTTTACTGCCAGCTTCCTACTCTAGGAGCTTCTTGTCAATGCTCCTATCCGAAAAGATGCTGAAAGTGCAGCTGCAGTCACTTGGTGGTACTCCACAGGACCCGGTGTGTAATTCAAGCAAGCGATCTTGAAGCCCGCGAGGACAGTCCCAGTGTTGCTGCAACAGGAAAGGCAGCGCTTGTCCAGGGAAATAATGGGAGATGTGGTCTTGACCTCCTTCTTCCGAGGAGTTTGATCGATGTTGGGTAGAAGCCCATCCCGATCACCCTTCTCCGGCTTGCAGCCGAAGAGGGCAACGTTCTTCCTGTCCTTTCAGGGTTTAGGGTTTAGGGACCCAGAGGTGCAATATTGAACCCTAAACCCTAAACCCTAAACCCTAAACCCTAAACCCCAAAGCCTAAGCCCTTGGTTTAGGGTTTAGGGCTTACGGTTCCTGTCCTGATCATCTTGGAAGTTCATCTGTGCTGCGATGAGCTGACTCTCGACGATGGCATGCATTGCATCCCTCTCCTTGGCTTAATGTGGGGGGCCTTAAGAATTAGAACAGGGTTTGTGGTATATTAGACTGTAACTATAGTAACGAACCCCCAAAATGGTTGAGGTAATTATGAAGGCCCCTATGTTAGCACCAGCCCTTTCTTCAAGACCTTTCTTCCTGCTCGCTACTGTCTAACCTAATCGAAACCTCAGCCACTTCTGCGACAGATCTCCCTGAACTCCTACAGCCCGACTTCTCGGAGACCTGAAACCGCAACAGTCTAGATCCAACTGGCTCCCGGCTTCAACCGGAGAGTCCCTTGCACTACCCATAGGCCCCAGGGTAGTTCCTTTTTGGGATTACACTATAGGATTCTAAATATGAACCCCAAAAAGGAACTACTATGGGGCCTATGGGTATACCCAGAACCACAAGCACGCAGAAAGCAACTCCGCACAAAACAGGCCCAATCTCCAACGCTCGCGCCCGATCGTGAACGGCCAAGTTCTCCTGGTGGTCCTTCCACGCCCGCCGAAGCTGCTGGACCTCTGCAACGAGCTTAAGTTTGACATTTTGATATTTGGGGCTGTAAGAAACTTTGAGACGAATTTCATGGTTTCAGATCTTCGGAAGTTCCAGCAACTTCGGCCCAAAGCTCTTCGGAAGGGAGGGGGTCTGGTACTTCGAGCCTCCAGCCTTCAGGATTCTCTGTCGGTTAAAGCTGCATAAGCTCTTGCCCTTCTGACCCCAAGCCCCCAAACCCTACCAAACCCTACAAGTAAACCCCAACAACCAATCAGAAATGCCCCAACCCTCCATCAATCTAACCCCTAAACCCTTAAACCCTAAACCCCTACTCCACCAAAACTAATAGAGGGGCCTTAATAATTAGAATAGGGTGTGGGGGTATATCATACTGTAATCATAATAAGGAACCCCCCAAAATTACCCCCTTCAACTTTATTAAGGCCCCTATATTAGCCCCCCACCTCCAACACGTACTGCTCGCTCACTGGGTCCACCTTCACCTTCTCCGCAAGGCCAATCTTCAGCTCCTCCGGGGACCGCTGCAATTAGAAAAGGGTCTCAAAAAGGATTCCATAATGTAGGGGCCGTAATAACTAGAATAGGGGTTCTGGGGTTCCTCATTATGCTTACAACATATAGTATACCCCAAAGCCCTATTCAAATCATTAAGGCCTCTATATTAACAGTTTTATTGGGGTTTACAAGGGTTCCTGCCAGAGTTACTGTATGAGTTACTACGAAGTGTCCTATAGGAGTTGGCATAAGGTTTCCTATAACGGCCACCATAATAATCCATAGAAGCAATGTAGGAAAGATCAGAAGAGTTACGCTCTTCGTGTCCAGCGATGGGCTCGGGGTTTTGGGGTTAGGGTGCAAACATAGGTAGTTTATTGTTTATTGTTTAGCAGTAGTGGCAGCAGTCTAATTCGTAGCAAGTGTAGTTGAGCACTGGTACTTCAAGGTCAGCGAAGCCCTTGTCGGCTGTTTGAAAGTATCATATTGAACAGCTGGTCGTACATTACTTACGGGGGGGCGGAACTAATATGTTGAGCTCCTACCTTGAACCTACTCCTCAGGCGACTCTTGTAAGATAGAGAGCTATTCTATGAATCCCGGATTATCGTTCGAAGAGCCTAGGCTAGCCAGGTATATCCATGCTCCTGGGCCGCTGCAGCTCCACTCCCTTGCACCTCTTTGCCAAACATGCACCCACTTCATGCTTTAAGCGCCCTGCTGCATCTCTGAGACGAAAACCTCAAACCACCCTAAACCCTGAAGCCTAAACAAGTCAGGGTGTCGCTTTGACCCTGCTCCCAGAGATTCCCAGAGACTGCTAGGCGAGATGTCTGGATTCTAGTCGGCTTACTCAATAAGGGCCTCCAGCTCTCTTGAACCCCCAGCCATCAAACCTGAGAGCCTCAACATGACCGAACACCTACGGTTTAGGGTTTAGGGTTTAGGGTGTAGGGTTTAGGGCACCTACGGGTTTTTGTTTTAACATGGCTCCTGGATCTGTTTGTTCAAGTCTTCCTGCAGCTGCTGCAGGTGAGCTTTTGCTTGGTCTTCGCTTCCACGGAGGATCTGGTTCAGGCTCGCGTTTTGCTGCATGACCTTGGAGGCTCAGGTCATCCGGAAGTTGGGGTCCTGGGGGGGATCGAGGGTTTGGGTTTAGGGTTTAGGGTTCCTAGGGTTTAGGGTTTAGGGTCATAGTGTAGAGTTTAGGGTTTAGGGTTAAGGGGTCCCTAAACCCCAAACTGTCGGGTTTAGGGTTCAGGATTTTCGGATTTCTGGATTTGGCGTTTTGCACATCGCCTTGGGGGTTTGTGGGTGAAAGGGTTTGAGGCTTTGGAGCTCTTGGGGCTTCGGGCGGCAGGTTTCGGGGTTCCCATTCTAGTACTTATGCAGAGCTAGATAGATAGATAGATAGATAGATAGATAGATAGTTAGCTAGATAGACAGAAAGAAAGATAGATGGATAGATAGAAAGATAGATAGACAGACAGATGGTTGGTTGGTAGATAGGTATATAGGCAGATAGGTCGACACATGTACGTATACATGCATACACATATACAAATCTCGAGAATAGCCTTCATTTATCTACTCCTGCAGTACAACCCTAACCCTAAACCCCAAACCCTAAACCCTAAACCCTAAACCTTAGACCCTAGACCCTAGACCCTAGACCCATACCCTATAAACCGCTTTAGGGCTTAGGGTTTAGGGTTAGCTTATGAGTTTCCACAAAGTGTGCCCGTACCTTAGAAAAGCTTGTGCCTCGTCCATCCGGCCAATGTCCTCAGGGCGCAGGGCATGTACGTATAATGATGTATTCTAGTAATAGGAATATTCTAGTAATATTAGAGTAACATTATAGTAATATTATAGTAATATTATAGTAATATTATGGTAATATTGTAGTATATTAGTTATGGCAGCTTACAGTAGAATTATTAGATTCTAGAATCAAGGCCTCAAGCATTCGGGTCTAGGGCCTGGGGCTCAGGGCCTTGGGGCCTTTAGGGTCGAGGGTTGCTGGAGAGACTGTCCTCAGCGTACTGCGTGCGCATGGTGTCGATCTGCTTGGATGTGGACGTTGAGATCACTCGGACAGCTGTCTGAAAGTGGCCCTTCACTTCGTCCACCACGCTGTTGACTCGTAGCCTGCTCAAGAAAGTCACTGCTCGCTGAATGCACTTCGAAGCAGCTTGCAAAAGCACCGGTGGACTAGAATCCAGGATGGCGACACTATCAAGAATGAGACCCGTCGCAACAATGTGAAGTAGGATCTGAAAGGGGTGCCTTCTCCCGTAAAAAAACACAGCGACTCCCCAACATCGTTTGCACCACAAAACTCAGCAGGCACCTGAGTGCGGCGACGGCATCATTCAGATTCCGCTGAAACTCGATGAACGTTTGCTGCTGCTCCTCTACACTGGATGCCGAAGCCTTTGCACGCCAGAGATCGGCAACACTCTCCATTGTTTCAGCGGTTACCAAGCCAATGCGCTCCATCTCCGACTTCAAGTGGGCAAAAACAGTGGCCATGTTCGTGACGTCGTCATGCAGCTTGAACTGCGTGCTTTCACTTGCTGCGAACTTTGATTCAATCTCATCTCTGAGTTTCATGATCTTGTCTCTGTTAACATCGACCCTTTCGCAGCAGTAGTCGCGAAGTTGGGTGACTTCGTCCTTTGTCGCAGCTAGCAGATCCCCTACGTTCTTCAGGCCGCGCTGGCACGCCTCCGTCGAGTAGGCTTGCACCTCAATCATCTTGCGAAGAGCACTCAGCTCATTTTCCTGAAGGCAGGTCTTCTCGTTTAAGAGGTGTTCGTGGTCCCGTCGCTCTCTGTCCCATTCACCAAGCTCAGAGCGGAAGGAATCAATAGTCTTCTTCAGCCCGTCTTGGCTAGAGAGCTTCTGGTGAAGCTGCTTCAGGTTGTCGGCATTGCGCTCAGCCGCCACGCGAACTTCCCGCAGCTTACCCTCGAAGAGCACGGTTCGGGATATGGCGGGCTCTGTAAGCTCCAGAGCATGCCTGGGTTGTAATTCAAGAGCGACAAAGCTATGAATGAACCGGTACACCTATAGTCTCTAGGACCATGATGGGAATTTCGAGCTTTGTGCCACCGCGATGCTTTCGCAGGCGTGTTTCAATCTCTCCAGCCTCGATTACGAGAAGCGGCGGAAGACTCTCTGAGGCGTGCTTGTTGTGATGGGGCTCCGATGCATCTCCTTGGGAGAACATATCAGAGACAGGTGCATCTGCGCCGTCCATGCCTTTCAGCTACGGCTGCACCGGGTGCGCTAACATGCTACATGCTCTTCTTGAGCAATGCTGCAACTCATTGAACAAACCTTGATAGCACATTGCATACAGCCGACTACAGCTAACTTGATAAGCGCTTTTCGGGCGCTTCAGCGGAAGACATTATTACTCTTCTTACTGTTGCAAGAACGAAACTGATTATTATTTTTGTTTGTCTCTGATTGCTATCACTGCTACTATTCTTGCTACTCTTTTCACTGCTGCTACTACTATGCTTAATATTGCTACGATTGTCATTATTCCATCTCGAAACTCCCCGCCTTTCTTCCTTTCGCTCGCCGCCTGTCGAAGCTTCACCAGTCGAGACTCCAGCTGCGTCTGAAACTCCTCACAAGCTCTGGGAGGGTTTCGAAGAGATTCCCTCTGATGCCCTGTTCCCGACTGGAAGCCCGACCTGTAGTCTCCATTGTAGTTCCTTTTTTGGAGATACCTTATGAAATCCTTAATATGTAAGTGGTTAAACCAAAAAGAGGAACTACAATGGAGATTATAGGGAGTGTTCGATTCTTGCATGGAAGGCTCCCCAAAACCCCAAACCCCACACCGCTAAACTCTCCTCCTCCTCTGCGGCTACGGCTTCATATTTCTTCTCGTCAATCGCGTGCCTGCGTGTGCATGTGGGACCCGTATTATGTGGGCATGGAAACTCTCGTGCAAGAGAGACGACGTCAGCTGTTTCCGCATCCTAATCCCTGGCCCCCAAACCCACAAGACTCTAACGCCGAAGCCCATAAAGCGTATTACCCCATAGGCCCCAGTACGGAAGTATCAGCATCCGAAACCCCTTGAAGCCCTAAACCTTAAAGCATCCTAATCCCCTAAGACTGGAGCTCGGCCTCGAAACTCACAAACCCCTGCTAAGCTGCAGGGGGCTTGGCAGACCCTGCATTTTTTCGGGTGTACCCCTTTCCCCGTGATTCTCTTCCTCAATATCCGGCCACCAGAAAAAGTTCAGCCTTTCTAGGATGGACCATTAAGGGTTCAGGGTTTAGGGGAATATATAAGGCCAACAAGTTGAAATTATCCCATTGGCCGGCCAAGGTGACTTATCTTAGTTTAAGAAGGAAGCTCCGGGATCTACACCCTCGGAAGGCCTTACACATATAGGACCCGTAGATAACCCTGAGGACAGGGACCAACAAGGGACAAGAGCAAAAGTTGTAAACCACCCAACAGGGACATTCCTACCTTATTGAGGCGAGCTGCAAAGGGATATAGACGGCATATCCCTATGCTACCTTTGCTTATGTGTTGCTTTAGTGCCGGATGACTAATGTCGGGGCCTGAAGACGTAGAATAGGGTTTGGGGGTATATTATGCTGTAGGGATTATCAGGAACCCCGAAAGTAGCATCAGTTGGTGATTGTTTTAGGCCCCGATACCCCTAAACCCTAAACCCTAAACCCTAAACCCTAGAGATCACAATCGGACCCAGTGCCTGGTTTCCTCAGCCTTCTCTTGCTCGGCTGCCATCTCCCTTTCAAACCCTTGGTGTCGCGCTTTTCTGTCTGCTGCTTAGTAGGGAACGGGGGAATGGGTTACAGGGACTACTATGAGGGACCTTAAGGGACTATCATAGGGATCCATTCCTCCATTCCCTACTAAGCAGACAGTTTTGCGTTTGGGGCACTCAGGGAGAAGGGTTTGGGTCTTTGAGGGTCTTTGAGTCCGGATGTAGGGTTCCCGCTTTCTGAGGTGGCAGTGAAACTCTTCCTGACAGGGCTTAGGGTTTAGGGTTTCGGGTTTAGGATTTAGCGTTTAGGGTTTCGGGTTTAGGGTTTAGGGCCGCGAATCAACTGCCAAAACCAACAACAGTACAGCACTGCCTGTACTTCTCGTCACCAGAACGGGTCTAACAACATGATCACACCAACGCCGTTAACAGGCTTATGGTACTGCTAGCTTTGATAGCACAAACAAATATGCCCCAAATCCTGAGCCATAAAATCCGAGCCTCAGCCCTGCACCCTCAATCATTAAGCGCAGCAGTGAATCCCTAAGCCTACACCCTTAACAGGTAGACATGGCAACCCTAGACTCCTACAATCACTCCTGAAGCCCTGAAAGCCCCAAGCCATTAATCTCAAAACCCCTAAATCCTCAAATGATCATACGAATAGTACTAATAATTAGTAGTAGTAATAACGCCCAAAGCCCTCAGGCCCTGACTTCGGAGGCCCTCCTCGATTTCCCTTTCAGCCTTTCGAGATGGTGCCTGCATTGTCAAGCAAACCCTGTTAATATAGGGCCTCAATAATTACCTACAATATTTTGTTGGTGGGTTCTTCTTCTTCTTCTTTTTATTATTATTATCGTATAATGGGCCACAGCACCCAGTTCTAATTATTAAGGCCCCTATATTACTGTTCTTCCGGTAGCACATGGTGTTCACCATATGGCAGGTGGTCCCACATTGACTGCGGATGTTCTCACGGTTCTGTTGCAACGCTTTTTCCAGGTTTATAGCTTCAGATATCCTTTTGGGGGTTGAGGGCCATTTTGAGTCTGCTGTGCTGGGATTCGGATTTAGGGTCTTTGAACTCACTTATATCTTGTTGATTCACTCGTCTATAGTCTACGAGTATGCATTGGAAGACGGCTCCAAGCCACATCTTCGACAGATTCTGGCATCCCTCGGCCCACCTCCATTCCCCTCACTTTTGCATCCAGCTCTGGGTCGTCAAAGAACCCTTCAGGCAGGGCCTGCGGGCAAGTTCAGATCTGTGAAACATAGAAGGGAATCAAGTGCCGGCTGCCTTCGCCAATTACGCACACTTCCTACTGCACATGCCGCTCGAGAACATGCCATGCAAGCTTTTCGAAATCTCGCCACCTGATCGTCTTGTCCTTCTTCGGCGTCCGCTTCGGTAGCCTTCGGTGCCTTGCGAGAAGCAGGCTGAAAGAGCTGTAGGATCGTCCGGGTTGGCCAAAGAGATACAGGCCGGGCGGTCGAAACGCGAATCCCCCGAACACGGTTTAGGGTTTAGGGTTTAGGGTTTAAACCCTAAACCCTAAACCCCTAAACCCCAAGATTTAGGGTTTAGGGTTTAACCCTAAACCCTAAGAGTTTGATTTCACAAAGACTGGAGGCTCAGATCCTGCATCTTGAACTCGAGGTATCGGAGCAGAAGCGCACTGACGTGAAGACTGGTGTTTACAGACTATGAAGGCTTCCCATACGTATGTATATCTATCTATCTTCCGGTGTATATATATAGATAGATAGATAGATAGATAGATAGATAGATAGATAATTAGATCGATAGATAGATAGATAGATAGATAGATAGTTAGATAGCATACACATAATGCATACGTATCACCTGCTTATCTCGCAAAGTCATTTGCTAATATACATGTCCTGGTTACCCCCCCCCCCCCCTTCCGGTTACCCTATTTGGGGCCCGCCCTATGACCAGCATACGCTGGATGCTGGTCGTGTGCTGGCCTAGATTTCCCCGGCCTTTGGTGATCATGGCAGGGTTTGAACTGAAACCCGCGACGTTTTCAACCACGAATACTTTTGGAAACAGGCACCCGGACTTTAGTCGTCACAGAAAACTAATGATGTATTGAATTGCAGACCCCTAAACCGGACAATTCATAATTTAGCGGACCAGAAAAGTGTAACCGACCGTAGGGGGTAACCGACAGTTGTATATTACTTAGCAGTTGACCATAAGACTGATTGCCCAATGCCATGTGGTCGAAAACGCAAGCGGCTCCTCTGCCGGCGCTGCGGACAGCGTGCCTGTAGCCTGGAAGGTGGCTAGCTCTCGCAAATGTTTCATCACTAATTCCCTTGGCCCGAACCCCAAGCTACGCCGAGAATAGGGGACTGTAATACATATTCCTGAGTAGTAGGACAAGGACCCATGAGGTGTCCAGAAGGTCTTGGAGAAGATCTTGCCCAACATGCCCCCCAAACAAGGTACCCCAAAACTTTACAATCCTGCCTTGAGCTGCTGGCTCTCAGCTGGTGCCACAAGTGGGCCCACAATGGCCTCCTACATGAAGTGTGGGATTGCAGTGTCTGAACCCTTGGGTCGGTTAAGGGTCTAATGTAGGTGCTTTAATTTAATAGTTAGTATAGGGTTTGGGGGTATATTATACTATAATTACAGTAAGGAACCCCCAATTTTGCATAGGTAGTTATTGAGTCCCCTATATTAGGGTCCCAGGATCTGCGAGGCATCTCCATGAGGGCGGCAGGCACTGGAATCAACTACTGTACCCCCGGCTGTCCCTGCTGTTCTGCCTCTTCTTCCTCCTCTTCAACAGGCTCAGTGATCTCTTTGTCGGCAGCAGCTGGGATCTCTTCTGCATCCTTTGCTTCAGGAACTTCCGCCTCCTAGCACAGACAGCTTTGAGGCTAAGGAATCCCGTTACACAGCTCTGCTCTCCTCAGGAGCTTTCGGATCTGCACCTGCTGTCTTCGGAACAGCCTGGGCGTGAAGCTCCAGAGCCCAGTTCCCTATGGAGCGCTGGACTATAAGCTCACCCTACCCATACCCGTAGTACCTGTTGTGCCACCGTTCCCTTTCTAGCCGTAGGACAACCTCCACCAGAACCCGCAATAAAGCAACCCCCCACTGCATAGGTAACTGCGCCATCCTCCCTAAACCCTATACCCTAAACCCAAACCCCCTAAACCCTAAACCCGAACCCCCTACACCCTAAACCCTAAACCCGAACACCCTAAAACCCTAAACCCGAACCCCCTGAACCCTAAACCCAAACCCCCTAAACCCTAAACCCTAATCCCCTAAACCCTAAACCCGAACCCCCTAAACCCTAAACCCGAACCCCCTAAACCCTAAGCTGTGCCATCCTGAGGGCAGCACTGGAGGTAGCATCTTTGCAGTCTCGGCTTTGGCACCTTAGCAAGGCCGAGGATGCCTTGCTTATGGGGCGCTGTATACTAGGGCTTAGGGTTTAGGATTTTAGGGTTTAGGGTTTAGGATTTAGGGATTAGGGTTTAGGGTTTCGGGTTTTTTTTCGATTTAGGGTTTAGGGTTTAAGGTTTAGGGTTTAGGGTTTAGAATTATATTCCTTGTTATAAGCTATGAGCCGACGGTTGCCTTCCCCGAAGCCTTATTCTCACTATGAACGCCTCATGTTAAGCCCTACAGACCCCACCTGAAGCCCCCAAAACCCTTCTAATCATGAAGGCCTCTGTAACCCCCTGCATCAAGCCTTATAGAACCCTACAACCCCAAACCATAATCAATAGAGCGTTGCGGCCCTAAACCCTAAACCCAAAACCCTGTTGGGTCATCGGATGCTTGGCGAAGCACGTTTTGCCAACTCTGCCTTTGCCAACTCTGCCTTGGCTTCCTGTTTCCTCTTGAGCGCTGACAAGACCGCAGTGCCCTGTGCCGGGACACACGGGGCCGGAAGCCAACTTAGGCTTTAGGGCTTTAGGGATTGAATAGGTTTTAGGGATTTGTTGAGGGCTTGCCGCGGCTTGCGGTTTAGGGCGTAGGGCTTGAGGTTTAGGGCTTCGGGCTTACGGCTCAGGTTTTAGGGCTTTTGCTTTCGAACGCCTCTTCCATCGCCGAAAAGTCTCTAGACTGCAGAACTCACAAAGTGTGGATTCGGGATTAGGTTTAGGGTTTAGGGTTTAGGGTTTAGGTTTTAGGGTGCAACTGTCTGCGAAGGCCCGGCCTGCCCAGGCCCACGCCGAGCTTTCTCCTGCTTGGTCCTGGCCAGATGCAGCTGCCCAAAGAGTGTGCCCAAAGGCAGAATCTCATACAAAAATAGAAGTTCACGTATAAATAAAAAATATATATGTATACATGTATATATACATATAAACACATAGGTATAGACATGTACACATGGTGATGTATCTATGTTTAGCACTTCTTTGGCTATTCACCTGTTTGTGTTCTGTAAACACATCTGTATGTACATATAAACATACACATCTACACACACCTACATACATACATACATACATACATACATACATACATACATACATCCCTAAACCCTAAACCCCTAAACCCCGAAACCCCGAAACCCCAAACCCTAAACCCTAAACCCTAAACCGATATATATATATATATTATATATATATATATATTATATATATAATATAATATATATATATATATATGTACATCCTTTATCCTGAGCAAGCAGAACCCGCGTTTCAGGAGACTGAGGCCAGGTCAGCTCCCGGAGCTTCTTCTGGTCCATGGCCACCTCAAAGAGCTTGGAAAGGGGCTCCCAGGGAGGTTTTAGGGTTTAGGGTTTAGGATCCCAAAAAAGGGAGAGGAGGGTTTAGGATTTAGGTTTAGGGTTTAGGGTTTAGGGTTTAGGGTTTAGGGTTTAGGGTTTAGGGTGTTGGGGTGGGCTGTAGAATCGTAGAGTTACATAAGGCAAGCTGTCACATACCTTGCCCGGGTCATTCTAAAATACAGCCCGAGACTTTCGAGGTTTTGACCGTGACTGATGACGAGATTTCTAATAGCAGAGTTATATCAGGGCTTTTTCAGGAGATATAGTGGTGTAAGCACTTCAACGCGTGAAATTTATCATGAAAAAGAAGCGTGGCCCCGAGGCAGGGAGAGTTGCAACGTCTAAGTCGGCGACCTATCGGTCTCGCGAGGTGCTCGCCGGAGGCACGGGACAAATCTTCGAGGCTCTACATGGCTACGAGCTTGGGGCGAAAGGTTGCGAAAAGTAGTATAGAGGCCTTAATAGTTAGAATATGTCGAATAGGGGCCCTTTATAGTGGTATAGTTACAATAAGGAACCCGCAAAAATAATACAGGTAATTATTAGGGTGCGGGCGCATAGGTTGCCC